AGAGCGAAATGTCAATTACAACAGTCTTTCAGAGATTTCGCGCTCCCAGCGCGTTTTACCAAGTTTACCAGCTTCGAGAAGGCTCGGCGTAATTCTGCGGGGTCTCATCTAACCAGAATTGTCCAGATGTCACCAGAGCTCTCCCACCAGCTCGTACGGCCGTGAGGCTCTGTAAAAAGTGCCCCCTGCATTTATTTCTTCATTCCCAGCAGGTCTCTCACCTGCGCTCACCAAGACCATCGCCCTTGTTAGTCCCAACTCCGCACCCAGCCCTGTACCTGCTGGACACGAGCCTCCCTTTGCAGCTGAGACCTTGCAGCCCCCTGGGGCTCCCAGGGGGGGAGGCTGCTCTGCCTTCAGAGGGTCCCACGGCAGGCCAGCTGCTTCCCTGGGGTTCTGTTGGAGGGTTTGGAGAAACTTCTTCTTCCTCTCTTAGGCAGCAGAAGCCCCACTGCCCTACAGAAGACTCAACTAGGTGTTCAGGAGGAACTGTGCCAGAAAAGAGATCCAAGTAACAGCACCAGGGCCTCCGTCGGGACTCGGAGAAGTCAACCACTGGGTTATCACTCTGGGCTGAAGCCTGGGGTTCCGGGTACACCTCCCTCCCTCACTCCAAATGCCCTGCCAGGCCCTGCTTCATCACCCTACTGACTGCATCAAGGCTGCCCCTCTTGGCCATCATCCCTCCTTCTCTGCTCCGGCTCAGAGAGTTACCATCTGTCACCAGCAAGTGGCCACAGCCTCCTAGCTGGTCTCCCTGCCTCTCTGTCTTGCCCCTCAGTCCATACTTTCTCTAGCTATTAGACTGATCTCCAAACACAATTCTAAAAAAAAACACTAACCTAACTAAACCCCTCCGAAGGCTCTCCAGACCTCTCATGCCCGGTCAGGCCTCTCCAGTTTCCTCTCTTGGCACCCACAGTTCCCTGGCCTGCTTGCCACGCAAACAGCGCGCTCCCAGCGCCCTCGGGCCAGCCGGCACGGTGGGGTGGGAGGGGGGCACCAAGGCTTCTGCTGCCCCCTCGGCCCCCCAAAGCCGCCTTCCTTGTTCCACCACCTGCCAGCCTCTCACCACTCATCCTACAAGGCTCAGCTCAGACCCTACCTGCTCCTGGCTGGGCCAAGCACGTCCCCAGTGTGAATCCTTTGTGATATCATAGCAGCCAAGACAAAAAGCACAACTGAGCTGTGAATCCGGCTTCACCTCTTTCATCTGCTTTTGCCTGAGTTCAAGGGCAGGAAATATGTCTTACTGAATTTTGTACTCCACCATCAGTTTATGGAAAATCATATTTATTAGGAGCGTACCACGCTCCACACAGAGCATAAAACCCTCAGCACACATTTCTTGTTGCTCGTATCAACAACAACCCAACCAGGGAGGCTGCATGGTTAGTATCAGCCCCATTTTACAGACAAGGCAGCCCAAAGTCAAACTTGAACCTGCACTCTACCAGTTAGTTACAATGTACAGTTGAAATCACTACCTGTGAAAGCTTTCCAGCAGGGCTGGCCCGCCCCCAAGGTCTCCCCTCTCAAGCTCGGAAAATTGGAGGCAAGAACTCTGTGACTTCCCTGATAGGCTTGTTAACAGACAGCTAAGGTGATGGGGAGGCAACAGATAAGACAGAATTGCAACCCATTCCATGAAGAGAGGGAAAACACGGTCTGTTGGTCTGTTGTGATCCACACAGTCAAGGGCTTTGGTGTAGTTGATGAAGCAGAAGTAGATGCTTTTTCTGGAATTCTCTTGCTTTTTCTATGATCCAATGGATGTTGACAATTTGATCTCTGGGTCCTCTGCCTTTTCTAAATCCAGCTTGAACATCTGTAAGTTCTTGGTTCGGTTCACGTACTGTTGAAGACTAGCTTGGAGAATTTTCAGCACTACTTTGCTAGCATGTGAAATGAGTGCAACTCTACGGTAGTTTGAACATTCTTTGACATTGCCTTTCCTTGGGATTGGAATGAAAACTGACCATTTCTAATCCTGTGGCCACTGCTGAGTTTTCCAAACTTCCTGGCAACATATCTTCTGCTTATCTTAGGTCCATACCGTTTCTGTCCTTTATTGTACCCGTCTTTGCATGAAATGTTCCCTTGGTATCTCTAATTTTCTTGAAGAGATCTCTAGTCTTTCCCATTCTATCGTTTTCCTCTATTTCTTTGCATTGATCACTGAGGAAGGCTTTCTTATCTCTCCTTGCTAGTCTTTGGAACTCTGCATTCAGATGGGTATATCTTTCCTCTTCTCTGCCTTTCACTTCTCTTCCTTCTCAGCTATTTGTAAGGCCTCCTCAGACAACCATTTTGCCTTGTTGCATTTCTTTTTCTTGGGGATAGTTTTGATCACTGCCTCCTGTACAATGTCACGAACCTCTGTCCATAGTTCTTCAGGCACTCTAACAGATCTAATCCCTTGAATCTATTTCTCACTTCCACTGTATAATCATAAGGGGTTTGATTTAGGTCATACCTGAATGGTCTAGTGGTTTTCCATACTTTCTTCAGTTTAAGTCTAAACCTGGCAATAAGGAGATCATGATCTGAGCCACAGTCAGCTCCCGGTCTTGTTTTTGCTGACTGTATAGAGCTTCTCCATCTTTGGCTGCAAAGAATATAATCAATCTGATTTCTGAATTGACCATCTGGTGATGTCCACGTGTAGAGTTTTCTCTTGTGTCGTTGGAAAAGGGTGTTTGCTATGAGCAGTGCATTCTCTTGGCAAAACTCTGTTAGCCTTTGCCCTGCTTCATTCTGTACTCCAAGGCCAAACTTGCTTGTTATTCCAGATATCTCTTGACTTCCCACTTTTGTATTCCAACCCCCTATGATGAAAAGGACATCTTTTTTTGGTGTTAGTTCTAGGTCTTATAGGTCCTCATAGAACCATTCAAGTTGAGCTTCTTCGGCATTAGCAGTTGGGGCATAGACCTGGATTCCTGTGATATTGAATGGTTTGCCTTGGAAATGAACAGAGATCATTCTGTCATTTTTGAGATTGCACGCAAATACTGCATTTTGGACTCTTTTGTTGACTATGAGGGCTACCCCATTTCTTCTAAGGGATTCTTGTCCACAGTAGTAGATATAATGGCCATCTGAGTTAAATTCACCATTCCAGTCCATTTTAAAATGTCAGTGTTCACTCTTGCCATCTCCTTTTTGACCAGGTCCAATTTACCTTGATTCACAGACCTAACATTTCAGGTTCCAATGCAGTATTGTTCTTTACAGCATTGGACTTATCTTCCATCAACAGTCACATCCACAACTGGGCATTGTTTTTGGTTTGGCTCCATCTCTTTATTCTTTCTGGAGTTATTTCTCCACTCTTCTCCAGTAGCATATTGGGCACCTACCAACCTGGGGAGTTCATCTCTGTGTCCTATCTTTTTGGCTTTTCATACTGTTCATGGGGTTCTCAAGGCAAGAATATTCAAGTGGTTTGCCATTCCCTTCTCCAGTGGACCACATTTTGTCAGACCTCTCCACCATGACCCATCTTGGATGGCCCTACACGACAGGGCTAACAGTTTCATTGAGTTAGACAAGGCTGTGATCCAAGTGATCAGTTTGGCTAGTTTTCTGTGATTGTGGTTTTCATTCTGTCTGTCCTCTGATGGATGAGGATAAGAGGCTTGTGGAAGCTTCCTGATTGATTTATAGTATATTTTGTTATTTGTCTGGGCAAGGGATGCCCCCATCATTGATTTCATGTTAACTATGATTGTATATTTTCTCTTCCAGATGAAGTTTCAAATCACCTTGTCAACTTCCATAAAAACTTTGTGTTGTGAGCATGACTATATAGAGTTTTTATTTGGAAGAATGCTCCTTTTACAATATTAAATCATCCTATCCCAGAATGTGTCATAATGTTAACTATCATTCCATTTGCTCAAGTCTATTTTTATGTTCCCATTATATAATTGTTTAATGGTGGTATTAGGACAACAATTTTGGAACTCTGTAATCCCAAGCCTAAACCAACATCACTGGTATTCTTTTTTGTAAGAAGTGGAAACTTGGACATAGACACAGTGGCATTCTAATTTATAAGCAGCAGAAACTTGGACATAGACACAGACACATATACACACAGAGGGATGATCACGTGAAGAATCAGCGAGAAGACGGCCATCTACAAGCTGAGGGTCTGGACCTCAGAAGACGCCAACCCTGCTGACCTTCCCTTCACACAATTCCACTGTGCCAGCACAGAAGTGGGGGGCCTCAAAACCTACTTACCAATGCTAATCAAGACAACAATAAATAACAGATAAATTAGGTTTTAGGCTTCTATTTGGAAAATACTTTGCTGTTTTAGCTCGGTTTTTAATGCAGGCTAAATTCATACTCAAGTTTAATTCAACATGGGGGTGTTCCCTTCCATTTATGAAAAAAAGAAAAAAAAACCCAACAGGAATTAAGTCTATACACAATGGCATCTCAAAATTAAAGAAGATAATTTAGGAGATTTTCAATTTTAACTAACTTGGAACCATGTCAGAAAACTGACTCCTCCCTCCCCATCAAAGGGTAAAGAGGGCTGCAGTTGATAAATGTTTATTCACTATACAGTACAAAATTTCCGTTAGTTATAGATCACTGATCACCAGTTCCTGAAAGCTATGATTTGGTCAGGAGCATAACAAGGAGCTTCTTGCCAACAAAAGCAATGGCAAAGACACTGGTCCATTAAATAAATGGCAGTTGGATTGGCAGGACCTCAGATGTGTGGTCCTGGGGTGGCATGCTTCAGGAGCAACTGGTATGGGGGCTGTGTCACGGAGACTGAGTATGGTGAAGGACATCTCTCACAGGACTTGGACGTCGTACAGTACTAGGCTGCCAGGTGAGTATTAACAATATAATGGTTTCCATTTAGATTGTACTACACTTCTGAGCTCTAAAGTGGCCTAAATAAAAAAAGTTTAAATTTGATAAGTGTGAAATGTAAGCTTTTGGTAGGTATGATACATATGCATACAACACTATGATAAGTCATATTGAAATTTATTTTAAAAATACATGGTTAGAAAGCACATATTACAGTGGCGAAGCAGCAGTAGTTTTTATTTATTACAAATTCTAAAAAATAATCCAATGTTGTAAGCAAAAAGGAACGCTGATTATCATCAAAAACGTGTAAATTTAAAATTATCTACAATCCTACACACAGAAAAAAAATCTCTGTATTTGAGTAAGACCAAAGTATCTGTTGGTTTTTACAGACACAGAATTTCGGTAGAGTTTTAGGCCCTATCAACGGTTTCTATTAAGTACAATGATAACAAAAGAAAGCAATGAAACACATGGATACCAAAGATGAAGAGCCTGATAACCAGGCATGGGCCAGAGAAACCAGCCATGCTGGCAATACAAGGTTCTTTACCAACGGAGCCGCGGCCCGTGCGCTTCCGCTGCCAAGGCTGTTCGCGCTGGTGCAGAAACCGCAGGGGCCAGGACCTATGGTGCAGTTCCAGGGAGCAGCCATCCCTCCCATGAGTCGGAGAGGGTCCTTGGTCCTCATCATTTACCTTGTACTCACGGGATATTTGGAGCTGAAACGAAGGACCCCAACTACCTTGGTTTTTCACTTTATATCCTGTCCCGACATCCCAAGACTCCCCAACAAAGGTAGCTACAGGCTACCTCACACTTTGCAGCCTGCCTGCCCCATGGTCCTGGTTGTGACCCCCACGGAGCTGCTGTCAGGGGTCACTGAAGGCCCTTGAAAGCCAGAGACAGTGGCGGTGGCCTCAGCTGAGGTGCATAAAAGCTAAAATAGTACTCCCAGGGCTGCTGATTGGGTTGAATCATAACAAAATGCATTTGAAATGAACAAGACTAAACTGTGTACATAAAAACAATAACGAACCACTAAACCAACAACCACAACAACAGTAGATCAGGCCTCTCAAAATTCAGAAACCAGAAAGCCATTGAAAAATGTTTAAATATAATTATACAAGGAGATAAAAAAGAAACTCGGCTAACAACGAAGTCAGACAATGTTATTTTCACACATCTATGTGTCTGAAAATCAATGACCTGTGCTGGCATTAGTTCCTACGTGAACTTTGGTACTTCTTCCCTTGATATTTTAGAACAAGCTAGAAAATGTTAGGTAGAAAATGTACAGAGAAGGCACTATTTTGGCACTAGTCCAAAATCAAAAACAAGCCAAAAAACCAAGCTAATAACACCCCCACGAGACATTCACACGAAGCGCGTGTATATTAATATTCCATGATGCACACTCTAAACCCAATCCTTTAAAATTAGGTGGGACATTGTATTCGTATTTTTGGTTTGAGTTCTACTGTCGCTTGAAGCATATCAGCAGATACCTAGGCAGAGAACATCATGGGCAACATCACAGGGAAGGAAGAGTTGGCATCTTGGCACAATTGTGTCATGTGGTTTATAGTCTCAGAATATGCTGATCTAAGAGGAAAAAGAGCTCAGACTAATCTAGTCCCTCCAGCATTATCAGCATTGGCAGGCGATTACTATTCCTTTTTTCCCCTTGCTAAACAGTTAAATACATTTAGAAAATCACTTGGTAAATATAATTTCTAATTCAAAAGATTGTAACATGCCCAGGACTTAGAAAATATTTTAAATTTATTATTTAAAATTTTAAAGTTTAAAAAATCCTTTATTCAGAAAAATTAAAAGAAGACAGGGTCTTGTCTTTTAAAGGAAACAGATAATTCTAAAACAGATATTTTCTATCAAGTGTGGCAATAGAAGGTTTTATAGATACAACATTAGTTTTTCATTAATATATATATTCCAAATGATGTTTTGGTCTTACTTTTCTAGATATCCGTCTCTGGGGAAAATGGCATTAATTAAGCAATAATCTGTATTTCAGTATATATCAAAAGTTCTAATATAAGTAGTTTAAATAGTTTTTAAATTTGGACTTGCATAGCTACCTTGTTAAATGTAGGGTCGGCATGGCCTTTGTATTGTTATTCACAAATCATAAGAGTATAAAATAAAAGTGCTATTATAAGAAGTTTCTCACTGAAAATGTTCAGAGAGCAGATTTTCTAGTGCAAAAAAAGAAAAGTAATTTAAGCTGTTTTTACTCAATCACAATTAAGAGAATGCATATGTATTTTTTTTAATTTCTGGAAAGAAGTTTATATGTGTGTCTCATTACTAGTAAAATCCACAAAGAACATTTTGGCAATCCTAAGAAAGCAAAACCAACATTTTGTTCAACAGGTTGTGAATTCAAATGTAGGAACAGAGAGAGAGAGTAAAAGACCTGGTAGCACTGACTTTTCCTAAAAAAGCACAAACCAAGACAGAAACGTCAGAAAAGGTACAGCAGAAAAAGTAAATGGAAATTTCCTAATGCCCCCACCCCACTGCATTTCAGATCATGAAGCACTTAATGTACTAGACTTCAGTGATTTCATATTAGACACATTATAAATATATCTTTCTGAAAGAATCTATCTATAGAAAATATTATACATATAAAATTGCCATATATTTCAAAATAGTTTAAAACCTAAACATTTTGCATAAGCATAGCTACCTATCAATACAAAACATTTTGTCAGTTGGGTTTTTAAAACCTAGACAACAGGATTATTTCCAAAGCCCATCATAAACCCAGCTGACTTAAACACCAACATTTGAAACACACAAACACACATATATATACATGTGTATATATTAACATATACACTCATACATACATATAAAGATATTTGAGTTTTCACAGAAAAAAAGGATAGTCATGAACAAAGCATCTTTCATAGACATTTGTGTTTGTAGTGTCTCAAGGTGGAAAAATTATTTTTAAGTCAATTCTGCTCCTAATTGAACACAGTGGGCATAATAGTTTTAGCTGCCTGTCACGTTCTAGATAAATTTCTTGATTGTGCTATAGTAAAAGGTTTAATATCCACACGTGAAATTTTCATATTCCCATGTGCAGGGCCTGATTACCGAATCAAAGTGCTTCTCAGAATGCTGAGTAACAGCAAGGATCTAGGATTAGGCCCACAGTAATGGTTACAGAAATGCTTTGCCTCTTGCACAGCCAACTCTTCCTCTCCAGTAAAACATGCAATACTGGGCCTCAGATTTTACCATGTGCACCCTGGAAATTGTGGAATGTTAGTTCTGAGTTCTAGATCTGAGATGCTACAACACTAGCACCCAGACTTTCCTGTTCACTGGATTTTTCATCACAATAAACTCCTAAACAATCAAAACTTGCTTTTTAATGACAAAAATAAAATGGCTGATCTCTTGGAAGAGCTGTCAGAAAATAAGTGTTTTCCTTGCCTTTGTCTTAAGCTGGTCACCTGGGCTTGATAATGTGCTAGTCTCATTTCGTGAACCATGTAATTATTTGTAAGAAAAGTAATTCATGAGAAGCGAAACACACGGAAGATAAGCAGTCCACTTATTAAATAACCCTATAAAATGGAATACAGTAATTTGAGAATCATACATTTAAAAACAAATTACTCGTATAAAGGTTAGTGTGTTTCTATGGCTTTAATTCAATTAGGTTAAGTTTTTGGCTTGATGTTTTAAATAATCATGTATTTAACTAAAATATTCTATTCCTCAACCACTGATGGGTTTTTCTAGAATACTGGAACTTGCATCAGTAGTTTTAGTGTGGTCATTTAAAAATAAATGAAATAAAAAGTGCTGAACAATTTATGGGATGGGGAAGAAAAATATCCCTAAATGTTTCCAAAAGAAACATCAGAAGCAAATTAGATCCAAACCCCTCATATTGGGCCAAATGCCCTTTAATAACTGAACGGGGACTTTAAAATCAGAACAGGGGAATTTGCTTGTATTCCTTCATTTTTCCCCCCCTTTTTTGCATGTAGTAAAGATAGAATTTACTACTGGCTTAGGAAAAAAAAAAACCCTAAATAAATTGTGAACTGTGATTATTTATTAACTAATGGAAAAAGGTATAAATCATTCCACCAATTATGTGATCTGGGAGGTTCTACTGGCTTATTTTAAGTGACTTTTAAAACAGGGGTGTTTGGGGTCTTATCCAAGCACCTAACTATTCTCATCTTCAAATGCATCCTCCTCTCTGCCACTTACACGCGCTTCCTGCCCACGGGGACCACCTTCACTTTCTAGCACAAAGGATCCCTAGGAGCTCACACTACCTCTCTCCAGCCCCTGACTGGACTGGGGCGGGGTGGGGGGGTGGGGAAGATATCATCCACACAAGGTGAAGGCCTCACATTCAAGGACCACTGTCTCAAAGAAGACGGCCATTCGAAGGGGTGCCTGCCACCTGCTGACACAGAAGGCCGCTCCTGCCCTGCGGGGTACTACAGACACCAGCAATCCGACTGGCTGAACTTTCAGCAAACTGTCATACCTCACAGAAGAAAACTCTGTACTAAACCCACTGCCGACATTTATAAGCTACAGAAAAGGCTCATTTCCTATCCCCTCCCCTTACTCCAGACCAATGACAGATACAATGATGGGTAAACGCAATTTTAGGATGTTCTAACTTGACATAAAGTCCAATAAGGAAAAGCAACAGTTATTTCCCCAACCACACCCAGCACATTCAAGATACTTTTCTATTCAGTGATCACCTCCATTTTAGTGTGGGCAATAGAGGCTACCGATGAATGGCAACACTGGAAAAAGGCAATGCGGTAAGAGTAAGACACCAACAACTTTTAACATTGATATTCCCCAACATATACAAACATATGCACACACATGCCCACATTCCCACTCTCTGGGGGATATTTATCATGGAGGAGCGAGCTCAGAGTGGTTTCCCTAGATGTGTGAGTCACCATCAGAGGAGGTGCTGTTCAGGTGAATGAGTATAAATTAGGGTGAACTATGTCTGCAGCAAATCCATGACAACCTGGTGTGGTGATGACATCGTCATGGTTCCCTCCATGCAGACTATGTACGTGAAGACTCTGGACCAGTTCTGTCCCAGCAGGCACTAGCATTCGCTCGTCTTTTCGTGGAAAATGAAAGGTAAGCTCAGGTTTCTTTGGTGATGGTCACCATCTTGCATGGCAGATTTTTCTTCTGTTGCTGCGTTAATGTTGTCTGAATACATATCTTCATCATCATCTTCATCCCTCGGATTACCCTCCAGGCTGTGTCTAATGCCATAAGCGAAGTAAATCAGGAAACCTTTCAGGGGAAAAAGAAATCAGCTTTTGGTGTGACATAAAATGACTGTACAAGTAAAATTTTCTTTTCTTTTTTTTTTTTTACTGGTGGACAATTGCTCTGCAATGTTGTGCTGGCCTCTGCCACACACTGACATCAATCAGCCACTGGTATGTGTGTGTGTGTGTATATGCCCCCTCCTATATGTGGAAAATTTAATATAGAACATAATAGGATATTTTGTGCCTTCTCTTTCTGTGCAATTTTAGAAGGGCAGAATGCAAGTACAGCATATTCCATGCAAGGTCGCTGACAGACGTCTTCCCAGTACAAAGTGCTTCTTCACTTTTAACGTGCAATCTGTATATGCAATATTGCAATCCTGGAATAAGAAGTCAAGTGGGCCTTAGGAATCATCACTATGAACAAAGCTAGTGGAGGTGACGGAATTCCAGTTGAGCTATTTCAAATCCTAAAAGATGATGCTATGAAAGTGCTGCACTCAATATGCCAGCAAATTTGGAAAACTCAGCAGTGGCCACAGGACTGGAAAAGGTCAGTTTTCATTTCAATGCCAAAGAATGCTCTAACTGCTGCACAATTGCACCTATCTCACATGCTAGTAAAGTAACGCTCAAAATTCTTCAAGCCAGGGTTCAACAGTACATGAACCGTGAACTTCCAGATGTTCAAGCTGGATTTAGAAAAGGCAGAGGTACCAGAGATCAATTTGTCAACATCCATTGGATTATCAAAAAAAAGCACTTCCTATAAACGCCCTTAAATATATTTTTTTGCTTTCCCAAGTGCTCATCTCCTATGACAGCTTCCATATTTATGCTTTCTCCCAGTTCTTTCAATCATCTTCTCAGCTGAACTCTTTTCAATATTCTGTGATTAAGTCCNTGATGCTTTTGAACTATGGTGTTGGAGAAGACTCTTGAGAGGTCCTTGGACTGCAAGGAATCCAACCAGTCCATCCTAAAGGAGATCAGTCCTGGGTGTTCATTGGTAGGACTGATTTTCAAGCTGAAACTCCAATACTTTGGCCACCTGATGTGAAGAGCTAACTCATTTGAAAAGACCCTGATACTGGGAAATATTGAGGGCAGGAGGAGAAGGGGACGACAGAGGATGAGATGGTTGGACGGCATGACCAACTCAATGGACATGAGTCTGAGTAAACTCCAGGAGTTGGTGATGGGACAGGGAGGCCTGGCGTGCTGCAGTTCATGGGATCGTAAAGAGTTGGACACAACTGAGCAACTGAACTGAACTGTACATGCATGTTTTTCTCAATAAATATTTTTGAAATATTTATGTAAAAAACTATTTACCTCCTCAAAAGTTAACACTATACTTTAAACAAAAGGATATATGGGGAAAAGTCTCAAATACTTCCCAAATACAAGTGCTGGATTATTGGAGACAGAGCCAGATAGTTTGGAAAACATGTCCTGTGTGAATGGGCTTCCCAGGTGTCTTAGTGGGTTAAGAATCTGGCTGCGATGCCAGAGACCTGGGTTTGAATCCTGGGTTGGGAAGATCCCCTGGAGGAGCGCATGGCAACCCACTCCAGTATTCTCGCCTAGAGAAGCCCATGGGCAGAGGCGCTACAGGCCACAGGGTTGCAAAGAGTCAGACATAACCAACGTGACAACACATACACCCCGTGTGAGCAAGGAACAGGGGTGTGCCTTACAAACGTTACTGTCACCAGGAGAGGATGAATAACTACGTGCAAAGCAACCGTTTATTAACAACCACACTGACTGAGGATCAGAGGGGAAAGGTTTTAAGTATTCTCACAGGATATGTAGGCATTTTTGCTGTGTTTTAGCTGTAATTTTAAAAATTGACTGAGAGTTTTGGGTTGATATGAAATGCCTTATAATTTTCCTAGGTAAACTAATGGGAAGCAGGCCACCAATGTGTATTTTGGCATGTGCAGTTGTGAGAACTGATTCTGTTTCCTCTCATGTCCTTAGAGGTTTGGTGCTCTAGCCTTCCTGTCCTCAAATAAAGGTAGCAATGCCACCATTTTACAAAGAAACAGAAGCACAGAAGCAGGGGTGGAACGTGAACCAGGCGACACGGCTAAAAAGCAGCAGGGGAGGACTGAAACACGGCGCGTCTGGTCCTGCAGTTCCCGCCCTTCTGCAAGGTCAGGCACATGGCTGAGCTTCATGGAGCTACCACCGGAGGAGAGATGCAGTGGTCCGCGGAGAGGCAGGAGCGTGGGGAAGCTCTCCGCCAGAGTTCAGTGTCTTCTGGGCTCCGAGAAAGGGAGGGAGTTCCGCTTCCTGTGCCCCGGGGGAGGTGGGGAGACCCGGAAGGAATGACTGGTTCATCCCGGAGGGCACAGCTGAGTCACAGGGGGCTCCCATCAGGATCCTGGCCCTGATGCGACAGAGCTGCCGACCGGGAGCGGCCGCAGTGACAGAATGCCCCAGTGCAACCTGTGTGGACGGTAACTTTTGATCCACCCAAATTCCCTGGCACTGTGTCAGATCCCCCCAAATGGGCAAACCTAGGGTAGCTGTTGGGGGAGGGGAAAAACAACTAGGTTAAACCTCCCATTGGCTCAAGCAGGTTGGTGGCCTGAGACCGAAATGAAGTTAATTTATAGCCAAAGCAAATACACACACACACACAAAAGTGAATGAGACTCATTATGCCAAAACCGTCAAAGAGCACAAACTCTCAAACTCCTCAGGCCACCAGTTATGATAAAGTTAAAGTCTGAATTTCCAAGTCAGCTTTCACACAGGACACTGAAGAAATCATGATGAAAACCGATGCAGTATAGATGTAAATAAGCTCATTCACAGTATGTAAGGTCAAACTCCACCCCATGGGTCTAACAGAAAGACATTTGGGTATCAGAAAAGAAATTTCTTGCAATTAGCTCATTCAAAATGTTGCCAGAAATTCAATGGTGCTCTGGAAGGAACTGGCTCTGCAATCAGACTCCAGGGGTGCTATTTGCAAACTAGATCCCTTGACTTTTGATGGTGGAAGCTTAATTTTTCTCACTCAAGAAGTTAGAAAAAATAGGATCTACAGAGTTTTACAGGGTTACTGCAGCAACTGAATTATAAAAAGGTATTTGGAAAACATCTGGAAAAGTAGGCACTCAGGTATTCTAAAACTTGGGAAAGGAGGAAACCAAAAAAAAAGCTCTTGTTTCTAGGAAGGGGGTGGGGTGCATTTCTCTGAAATGGCACATGACATGGGAAAGAGAGAGCCCACATTCAGAAAGTGAAAACAGGAGAAGACCTACCAAGCGCCATCCAGATGCTAAATCTGATCCAGGTGTCTGTACTCAACTGGACCATCAGGTAAATGTTCACCAGGATGCTGAAGGCTGGCAGGAACGGTAAGAATGGAACCTAAGGAGGGAAAACATCTCAGATATACTCAAATTTTAAAACACATTCCTCAACTTGTTTTGACATGGTGGCAACTAATTTGACATACACAGATACTGTCACAGTGTGTAAGATTATATTCTCACAAAAAGAACTACTTGAACAAAAACCACTCATCTAGAGAATGGGCTTCCCAGATGGCTCAATGGTAAAGAATCCACCTGTAATGCGGGAGACCTGGGTTCGATCCTGGGTTGGGAAGATCCCCTGGAAAAGGGAATGGCTACCCACTCCAGGATTTTTGCCTGGAGAATTCCATGGACAGAGGAGCCCAGCGGGCTACAGTCCATGGGGCTGCAAAAGAGTCAGACACGACTTAGTGACTAAAAAACAACATCCAGAGGATACTAAAAGGAGCCCCGTATTTCCCACCGTTGACTGCAGCAAAGCTACAGAGGGTTATCCAGCCGCTAACACCGGCATTATCACCAAGATGCAGCAGGTCTCAGGGTCCAGCTCAGGGTTTACTGGCTTCATTCCGATATTAAGAGGGCATGCCACTGGAACTCTGACTACTCTTGAGATCTCAGGGGGCTTCTTCCAGGAAACCCTCTTCAAGCTAAATTCTGCTCTTAGTTCAAATGGGACAGACTATAACTTCACTTCACAGTGGAAGGGCTTTGGGTGTGGACTTCCTTGAATTTTTAAAATATTCTAGTTATTTTTCTGATGCTTTAGAGTACTGAACAAGAAATTTGTTTACTATTATATAGAATAATGTACTAGGAGCACACTCAAGTTTTTGAAAAGAATACTTAAGACAAAAAGGAGCATCCCAAACGACCGTGTCGCCCTTGTTCACTGGTTAACATCATCAGAGTGCTTTTTTTTCTTTCTTAAAGTCACAAAAACTAACGTACAAGAGAAAACATGCATGATATTTAAGATCACGAATCCTCATGACACATACCATAAAGGCGACTTTCTGCTGATTCTGGGGCTGCCTCCAGATGATGAGCACGACGGCAGCACAGAGAACGAGAAACAGCACCAGGAGAGCCAGGCTCCACGCTTCCCGTCTGGCGATGGCGTGGACGCTGTGCGTGGTCAGAACACTCAGGCCCAGGATGAGGAATGCTGCGGAGATGACATGTTCGTGAAACAAAACCAGCACGTGACCTTCACTCAGACCCCTGCATTCAAAGTCTATTCTGATATCAAGTTCTTTATGTATCTACTCTGCCAAATACTAAGATTCTTCATTTCTATTTTGGAAAGACATGCCTGATTTCCGTGACTTAAGAATCCCGCTTCGCTCCCTCATGACTGTCGCCTCCTTAGAAGGCAGCCTCCCCTCTGGCCTCTACCATCCCGCCTTTCTGCCAGTCTCCGATGGCATCACTTGGATTGATGGAACATTGTCCAGGGTGGCTAGTTCCCTTTTTTCCAATGGGGAAAGCAAGTCTGTTCGTGTTCAGCTGTTGTAGACACTGTTCATATAAACAGATAATACATGATCTGCACCTTTTCTTCCTGTTTCAGAGCGGCATCACTGCCTACCCAGATGATCTCTGATCATCGAGTCTGAATTAGGGGTCCCTCTCATGCGCTCTCAGATAAAGTTGTACTGCCCTTAGCTCACCACCAATGCGGCTGCTCTGTAAAGTCCAATGAGAGCAAGAACCATCTTTCCTGACATCCCAAGTGCCCAGGGGGGTTCCTGGCACATCAATAAATGTTGCTGAAAATACGCTTGATTACGTAACTGTGGGTGAGCAAGCAGGATCTGCAGCACAGCCTCCCACGCTCCCCGGGTCCCAGTTCAGCTACGGGCAGGGGTGCTTCGCTTCCCACAGGAAGAACCCCCATGGCTCACGAAATGGACCAATTCTGTACTTCTGCCACCTTCACCTCAGGGCAGCAGTTCCCAACCTTTCTGGCATCAGAGACCAGTTTCATGGAAGACAATTTTTCCATGGACGCTAGGGGATGGTTTGCAGATGATTCAAGTGTGTTACTGTTACTGTGCACTTTATCTCTATTATTATTACATCAGCCGCCCCCTCGGATCATCAGGCATTAGATCCCAGGGGCGGGGACCCCTGCCTTAGGGAATTTCTTCCTTTCTTCTTCAATTACCAATGTACCATCGATTTAACCTGCTAACATAAGGAAGGTCTCAATGACCAGTGACCCCTTAGGTGAACATTTCAGGACTGAGAGCAGTGCTAACATATTCTTTCATCCTCTATCACATCATACCTGCTCCACCCACACACACACACTGGGTCTTTATAATGTATACAGTGAAGGGAACTTACCCAGGAATCCTACCAGAAAGCTGACGAGAGAAGCAGACTGTTTTGTGGGCAGAAGCGAGGGGTTGAAGAGGGTTCGCAGGCTGAAGCCCTGTCCTGGCAGCATGGTGACCTGAGACTCGCTTTTGGGGGTTCTGTTGGCACACGATCCCAGAGCTTCTTTCTCAGAGTAATGCTTGGGTTGCTCGTAAGATAAGCCGGGCTGGTACCTATTCCAAGTAAAAGTGTGTGTCTTTATTCTCAAACAGACACTTGGTCCAAATGAAACAAGTACCTAAAACTCTAATGGAGATATTTCCATTCACAGCTGGTGCAGTAAATGCACAAGTCTTGTGGCTGCAGCCTCAGGGTTGCTGAGGCAGGTCACACACGTGCTCAGCAAAATACCTGCAGCAGCTCCGAATTTCCTGAGAGCCACTTGATTAGAAAGTTATATATATTAGATGCTGAAGGGAGTTACATTTTAACGTGAGGCACCTGTGACGGTAAGTGATTACTCTGGTTACCTATGTTGAAGGGAGATGCCATTCATGAACACAGCAACCCTGTCAACAGAAACCCCGGTTAAATATCAGCTACAGGGTAACAGGGGCCTCCCCCGTGGCTCAGCAGTAAAGAGTGCCTGCAGTGTAGGAGCCGCAGAAGCCGCAGGTTCAGTCCCTGGGTCAGGAAGATCCCCTGGAGGAGGGCATGGCAATCCACTCCAGTATGCTTGCCTGCAGAATCCCATGGACAGAGGAGCCTGGCGGGCTACAGTCCACGGGGTCGCACAGAGTCAGACACGACTGAAGCGACTTAGCACACACGCACGCACAGGGGAATATAATATGCAGCCTTCAGTTTGGGAGTGGAAGGTCTCACTGCAGCCTGCCTCCAGTCTCATCTCCCTCATCAGCCACCTCCCGCCCATTCTCCTTTGTTACTGATCCCCTTCCTCTTTGGCTGGTGTCAAGATATCAGCCTGCTTTAGCTCCCCACATCTGCCCTGGTCTCCCCAGTGCGATCTTCTGAGAAGCTTTTGCTTAAATTTAAAAGTATTATTTGTTTCCCATCTGAAGAAATATGCTCACTGTGGAAAAAATACATAAAAGCATGCAGAAGAAAATTAAACCATCCATAACATTCAGTGTGAATCACTGTTAGCATTTTATTACAATTTCAGCCAGTTAAAAATGCAAATATGTATATATATTTGCAAAAATCATTTTTTGTGTGTAAATGTATGTTAGTTAAATAAATTCAGATACTACATATAGCTTTGCATCCAGAAACTGATATATCTCTCCATATAATTAAATATCATTTTATTTGCTGTAGAACAGTATACTGAATAAATGTACTCTTCTGTAACTATTCTATTTTTTTAACTGAAGTATAGTTGATTTATAATGCTGTGTTAGTTTCTGGTATACAGCAAAGTGTTTCAGTTCATATATGTCCTTTTTCATATGCTTTTCCATTATGGTTTATTATGGGATACTGTTTATTATGTTTATTATTATGTTTATTATGTTTATTATTGTCTATTATGTTTATTATGGGATATTGTTTATTACGTTTATTATTATGTTTATTATGTTTATTATGGGATACTGTGCTACAGTCAGTTCAGTTCAGTCGCTCAGTCGTGTCCGACACTTTGTGACCCCATGAATACAGCAGGAACTTACTGTTTGTTTATTGATTATTATACTATGACAGGGAAGCCTGGCATGCTGCAGTCCACGGGGTTGCACAGAGTCGGTCACGACTGAGAGGCTGAGCGCCAGCCCAGCCAGTCAACCCCGTTCCGAGAGTTTCAGGCCAACAGCAAACGGACGCGGCCATACAAACAAAGATTAAAGCTTTAGCCTGAGAGCTGAGCAGCTGCATCACCAGGACTAAAAATACAGTATTCTAAAGTGTTTTTATGCATTATGAGAATCTGTTGTTCACATAGATTAGGCCAACCTATTGATAATTAACAACAGTATTTATTTGCTTAAGGACCAAGTATGCTAAATAGGCTTCGCATTCACGTTTGTATGCCCATGGCCTCTCACTTCTGTGAGACAGCTGCCGCTGCTGCTAAGTCGCTTCAGTCGTGTCCGACTCTGTGCGATCCCATAGACGGCAGCCCACCAGGCACCTCTCTCTCTGGGATTCTCCTAACTCCATGCAAACAAGGCCAGTGAGCCCTAACTGTCTTTATTTCCTGGGTGCCAACTGACACACACGCTTCAGAACCATCTGGCAAGCAGGACAGCCCACCTGAGGATGAGGACACAGGCTGCGACCAGAGAGTAGGCCAGAAGTGTCCCAATGGACATCATGTCCACGAGGGCCTTCAGGTCGAACAGGAACGCCATCACAGCTGTTGGGGAAAAGAAAGAAGGGGAAAGAAGAGCGCCTGTGAGAAAATTCCACACAGCTGATGCCAAGTCAGAGACAAGGGATGCGAAATTTTTTGTTTTAGTGCCGATGATAAGTCAAGTAAAGCATAGAAAGTATACTTCTCACAGTTAATAAGATGTTCCTTAGGTCATAAACACTGCTAATGAAACTTCAAAACCCCTCAGCGATCTATCAAGTACAAAATACATCTACTTTGATTACTTAAAAAATATTGCCCTGACAAAGAGTGAAAATACTGTACGAGAGAATATTCGCTTTTGATGTTTCAGAAGAAAAAACACTGCCAGGAAATACTGGCAGGCTCCTTTTAAATAAGTAAATAAATAAATAAAAGAATTCAAATGGAAGAGCTTTCATTATAGATGTTATATAACCATTTTAATTTCCATCTGCATTCTGAGTTATATCTTGGACAGGATAAGGTCCAATTAAATTATGCTTCAGATAGAATATAAATCCTATCCTGATTAAAACCACACACTCTGATTAAATTTATACCATTTGGGTCTACCTCCAAGCCCTAATAATGTTAAGAGGCAAAGTATACGTCACATAGTTGAATAGTTAACTTGCAGCCTGCAATTTTTTTCTCCAATGAAGCATCAAACTAGTGACGATATTAACTGGAATTTACCAAATAGTTGTCCTTATCATAATAAGTAGACAACATCACACCCCACTCATGTGGCACTCCAGACATCTCAGCAGTGCTTTCTATCTTTATGATCTCAATTTATCTTCAATTCAATAGTCCTATGAGATGGGGGCAATCATTTAGGTTCAGCTTTATAGATCAGCATTTGACTGTTTTTGAATAAACCCCAGCAATTTCACATGGTTTAACCTAATAGGATCATTACTCTTAATAGACGGGTTAACTTAGCAAGGTTACAACTACTGGGTAGAAGTGGTGTGTGTGCGTGTAAGTCACTCAGTCATGTCTGACTCTTTGGACCCCATGGACTGTAGCCCAACAGGCTCCTCTGTCCATGGGATTCTCCAGTCAAGAATACTGGAGTGGGTTGCCATGCCCTTCTCCAGGGATCTGCAACCCAGAGATTGAACCCAGGTCTCCTGCACTGCAGGCAAAAGAAGGCTCCAGCTAAACCAACATGCCTGCCGGTGGCCCTTCTAAAATAGCACATAATTTTTTCCTTTTTTTTTTAGATTTTATGTAGACCATTTAAAAAGTCTTTATTGAATGTGTTACAATATTGCTTCCACTTTATGTTTTGGTGTTTCAGCCCTGAGGTATGTGGGATCTCAGCTCTCTGACCGGGGATCAAGCCCATACCCCCTGGATTGGAAGATGAAGTCTGAACCACTGGGAAGTCCCACACTGTTTCCTTAAATACATCCCATGCCTTATTTTGAAAAATTTCCATTGCTAGTATAGCTATACATTAGATTACAATTTTAATATGTCTTGTAAGAATCACAGATAACCTGTTTTAGGAAGCCAAAACAGAAGAAAGCAATAAATTACCCATACAAGCTCTCTGATCTAAGTTAAAAACAAGCAAGAGGTGAGACTACAAAATAGCAAAAATGTAATATTCAGAAAACTAAGATCATAGCATCTGGTACCATCACTTCATGGCAAATAGATGGGGAAACAGTGGAGACAGTGTCAGACTTTTTTCTCCAAAATCACTGCAGATGGTGACTGCAGCCACGAAATTAAAAGATGCTTACTCCTTGGAAGGAAAATTATGACCAACCTAGATAGCATATTAAAAAGCAGATGCGTTACTTTTCCAACAAAGGTCCGTCTAGTCAAGGCTATGGTTTTTCCAGTAGTCATGTATGGATGTGAGAGTTGGACTATAAAGAAAGCTGAGCGCCGATGAATTGATGCTTTTGAACTGTGGTGTTGGAAAAGACTCTTGAGAGTCCCTTGGACTGCAAGGAGATCCAACCAGTCCATCCTAAAGGAGATCAGTCCTGGGTGTTTACTGGAAGGACTGATGCTGAAGCTGAAACTCCAATACTCTGGCCACCTCATGCAAAGGGCTGACTTATTGGAAAAAACCCTGATGCTGGGAGGGATTGGGGGCAGGAGGAGAAGGGGACGACAGAAGATGAGATGACTGGATGCTATCACTGACTCGATGGACATGAGTTTGGGTAATCTCCGGGATTTGGGGATGGACAGGGAGGCCTGGCGTGCTCAATTCATGGGGTCGCAAAGAGTCAGACAGGACTGAGCGACTGAAGTGAATTGAATGTTTCAGTGCACTAAAAATGTTAAAATTATCTTCTTTTAATTATTAATTTCTATATCTTATTATGCTGTCAAATTAAATTCTTTCTAGAGGAAGAAGGGTAAATTTTTTAAAATTCTGAATACATAATAGAGAATTAATGGGCAAGATTTTACAGGAAAAAACAAAAGCTTTTATGGAGTAAATAAAATATGTTGTCTTTTGTCAAGATTTATGAACTTTCATTAATATCGTAATGTACTGTTTAATCATAAAGCGGGCCTTACATCGTCTAGTGAAAACTTCATTTTATGGGGGCAGACATCTTAAGCAGTAAGAAAATAAGTAATCTGACCTCCCAACATACATCTTAATAAAGGGCCAAGTTTATTAGAAGACATTTTATAAAGGGCAGTTGTTTAGGAAAATACTTAAGATTCTAAAAGAATCTTATTTCAAACATAATTAAATATTAGTATTCTGTAATATAATTTTCCAACAATTCAGAGCCTCGATAAAATTATCATCTTTGGTCTGAATTTATACTACTAAGAGTGTTTACCGTTTTTTCTCTAAAGTTTGCTAAAGTCCTCTCTTGCTCCATAACAGCACCACTAAGGTCATTCACTCAATCTGCAAAATCTGAAAATTTTCATGTGGAATAAGAATCTGGACAAAAGCATTTTGATGGATATTATGACATGCCAAAAGGGAAGCATCCGGAGTTTTTTTTTTTTGAAAACATGACAATATCAAAGCTCTTGAAAGGAAAAATAGATTCCTAATGGGGTTTATGATAATATAGGTATTAGTAACTCTTAAAGAACTATGATGGGCCCAGGAAATGGGGTTAGCCACCATACTGAGGGCAGTGATAACAATGGCCAAGTATAAATTATCTTTGATATTTCTTATATTTAATTAAGAATGGGTAAACTTTAGCTTTTCAAAAATCCTATGACCATTTAGCAATATTCAACTTATATCCTGGATAATAAACAAAATATTGAATCATTATTTTTAATTAACAATTCAAGGATTAAGTAATCATTCTTTAATTAACATTTTGTGTGTGATAATACAATTTTACAGGCTCGTTTCATTGATCTGAAAAGCAGTGAATACTTGATACACGATAAGGAACCACTGGAACCCTTTGCACATTTGTTAGAAGCAGAAAGGTTAAGGTAACAAAATGGTAACAAATCTCAAAGGGTCAGTTACAAATTTCAGTAGACCACCGCCACCACCATTTGCAGATGTGATCCCAATGTTCATACCCTGATTTATCAGTGATTTTGTTTTCAACTTACATGCACAGCAAGCAGACCCGCTTTATAAGTCCATGCATGCACATAAAATGCTCGAGTCTAATGCTGAAGAATCCTATGTTTGTAAAGCTTACCAGAAATGACCCCTGCGGTCAGTGTGGCAGCTACTGGTGACTGCCTCTTACTCACTCTGGCAAGAAATCTAAACAGTAAACCATCCCGGGCCATGGCAAACAGAATTCGGGGTAAAGGAAACATGGAACCCAGAAGACTAGAACAAAAAAATCCATAATCCACAAGTGAGTTATTACAAGTATTAGTCTAGACGAGTCTATACAGGTAAAGACTGGACACACTAGAGTACAGAACCTATACCAAAAAAATGTTCAAAACAGGAAACATTCAGAGAAGTTATTGATATTTATATATGTCAAAACAGAAAACCACCTAATTTTCCATTGTCTTCCCAGAATCCTTGGTGAAAAAAGATCCCCCTTTACTTAATAAAAGTCAACTCTCTCTCACCTGCCACTGCACCCGACGATAAAGTAGCAATTATTGGTGTCTTCGTTTTGGAATTGATTTGAGCTAGACATTTGAAAAGCAACCCATCCTCCGCCATAGCATAGATTACACGAGGCATTGGGAAAATGGATCCAAGAAGACTGAATAAAAAGCAAACACATGCAGTATGGCAAACACATTCATGCAAGATTACATCACAGAGCTGCAATTAAGTCATTGTATAAAACTCAGCATCACAGCTATTTGTTATTTTTTAAATGTAATATGATTGGGTATTTAAAAATATTAACCATGGTGCAATTTATTATACTCTCAGAGATAATCTGCTCAGCACAATTATCAGGCTAAAAACAATGCTGCAAAGAATTTGTGCAGGCCCATGATTACTACTGAATTAAAACTAAGTAATTAGATTTAAAAAAATTTTTAACTTAGAAAATTTATAAATTAATATGTAATTATAGAAAAGACAGTAATTTAATTTTATAGTATCTAGTCACTTCATTTATTCAATAATTACACATTTTTACATATATTTTACCATGATTTTTTGATCAAATTTGAAATAATTCTCAGCATAAGATAATCAAGATAGAAAAAGGAAAAAAGATGAACTCGCTGTAAATTCAGTATATAGAAGCAGCCTGAATTAAATATTAGCAAGAGTGAAATTTAAGAAAATGATTTTTGCTTTAGCTGTTTTTAATTACTTGTGTGTTTACTGACTACATCATTCCATACACGATTAAGTTGTAAAAAAACTTACAATTTAAGAGAAAATAAGTAAGATACACTTTTTAAACTCCATCTCCTTTATCTTTTAATAAAACGTGGTTGAGCTTAGCCACAGATAAATCTTTGTCTGTCTCTCTTCTAAAATTATGGTACAAAGTATCTTTACAGTTCAGATTTTTGAAACTATTCAGAACAAACCTTAGTATTATCAGATGGCTAAGGATCCAAGAGAGGTTAATTTGTGATTGCTGCTTAATACTATCCTGAATACAAAAAAACAAAAAGGATTTTGAGGGGGAGATAAAAGATCTAGGCTGATGAATTACACAAAAAGATTTATTTTTTAAATTTCAGACTTTTAGAAAAATTTCACTTCAAAAAATTAGTAATCAAGCAGAGATTAATTTTCCCTTTGTAACAGTGTTCTACAGTACGGCACTCAAGTGGAACATGATCACATGTTAAGTTAAAATATGAGCAGCTCAGGAAACTTGAGAAATGAATTATAAAATATTAAAATAAGCAGCTACTGAAAATCTGAATGCCTGAGATTCAGCTATCCTTATCACACAGATGTATACAAATCTCCACCATTAACTTGAGAACAGTAATTTCTATTTCTAGACCAAGTTCACTCTGATCAGTGCTAAGACAAAAAGTTTCAATGTTTCATGATAAAAAGTACTTTACACTTAAAAATGCCACAGCATATAGTTGTCACTCACACAGACTTGATATTATTTTAAAAAAAACAGCAGAAAATGTCAAGTCTGCACATGAGGTCTCAGTTGTCTGTAGCACTATAAGTAACACCAAAGACAGTAGGGTAACATACTAGTATACGTACTGTCAAGTTTTACAATAAGTTTTACAATACATACATATACAAATATATATGAAATATATAAATGTGCATAAATGCCATACATATCCTTGGAAGCCTGGACCATCATTATCTTCTAACTTTTAACAGCTCAGGGGGAAAAGATTTTATCACTTAAGATTTCGATACAGCAATTCTGGGTGAACAATTCAGAGAATATAGTTGTACGATATGTTTCTCCTATTAGGATTGTTTTTAAAACATACAAAAGCAATTCCGTGGATACCAACTACCTCTGCAGTTACCCACGCAGTCCTGCCCCAGAGACAATGCGATGTACCTTGTTGACAAAGCGCAGAGGGAGCCTGCTGCAACGACGTATTTGGCTGGCCCCCATCCAACGTACTCGAAGGCCACAGGAAGTGGGCTTTTCTCATCCAGCAGGTAGTACGGCATCATCAGCGTTAAAGCTGCCGAGACCCCAAAATAGGCCATAAAGCAAACGAGCAGAGAAGTCACAATTCCAATAGGAATAGCTTTCTGAGGATTCCGGACTTCCTCACCTAAGGAGACATAAATAGAAGACTGCATATTTAATAAAACACAACTAGTTTATTGCAGCGCTGTTTACAATAGCCAAGACACGGAAGCAACCTAAATGTCCACCAACAGAGGAATGGGTAAAATGCTGTGATATACACATACAATGGAATATTACTTAGTATTAAAAACAATGACATAATGCCACTTGTAGTAACATGGATGGACCTAGAGATTTAATTCATACTGAGTGAAGTAAATCAGAGGAGGAGAAATAGCATATGACATCCCTTATATACAGACTCTATAAAGAAATATTACAAATGATCTGTTTCACCCTTGATAATATACATGCTTCGATGCTGTTCTCTCAAAATATCCCACCCTCGCCTTCTCCCACAGAGTCCAAAAGTCTGTTCTGTACATCTGTGTCTCTTTTTCTGTTTTGCATATAGGGTTATCGTTACCATCTTTCTAAATTCCATATATATGCGTTAGTATACTGTATTGGTCTTTATCTTTCTGGCTTACTTCACTCTGTATAATGGGCTCCAGTTTCATCCATCTCATTAGAACTGATTCAAATGAATTCTTTTTAATGGCTGAGTAATATTCCATGGTGTATATGTACCACAGCTTCCTTATCCATTCGTCTGCTGATGGGCATCTAGGTTGCTTCCATGTCCTGGCTATTATAAACAGTGCTGCGATGAACATTGGGGTGCACGTGTCTCTTTCAGATCTGGTTTCCTCGGTGTGTATGCCCAGAAGTGGGATTGCTGGGTCATATGGCAGTTCTATTTCCAGCTTTTTAAGAAATCTCCACACTGTTTTCCATAGTGGCTGTACTAATTTGCATTCCCACCAACAGTGTAAGAGGGTTCCCTTTTCTCCACACCCTCTCCAGCATTTATTGCTTGTAGACTTTTGGATAGCAGCCATCCTGACTGGCGTGTAATGGTACCTCATTGTGGTTTTGATTTGCATTTCTCTGATAATGAGTGATGTTGAGCATCTTTTCATGTGTTTGTTAGCCATCTGTATGTCTTCCTTGGAGAAATGTCTGTTTAGTTCTTTGGCCCATTTTTTGATTGGGTCATTTATTTTTCTGGAGTTGAGCTGGAGGAGTTGCTTGTATATTTTTGAGATTAATCCTTTGTCTGTTGCTTCGTTTGCTATTATTTTCTCCCAATCTGAGGGCTGTCTTTTCACCTTGCTTATAGTTTCCTTTGTTGTGCAAAAGCTTTTAAGTTTCATTAGGTCCCATTTGTTTATTTTTGCTTTTATTTCCAATATTCTGGGAGGTGGGTCATAGAGGATCCTGCTGTGATTTATGTTGGAGACTGTTTTGCCTATGTTGGATGCATGAGATAAGTGCTCGGAGCTGGTGCACTGGGAAGACCCAGAGGGATGGGGTGGGGAGGGAGGCGGGAGCGGGGATCGGGATGGGGAGCACATGTAAATCCATGGTTGATTCATGTCAATGTATGGCAAAAACCACTACAATATTGTAAAGTAATTAGCCTCCAACTAATAAAAATAAACGGAAAAAAGAAAAAAGAAATGTTACAAATGAACTTATTTATTTACAAAACTGAAAACAGACTTAGAGAAAAAACTTATGGTTGCGGGGGGGGGGGGGGGGGGGAAGGGTCGAGGGAAGGGATGGATAACTAACAGGGACACAGTGCATAGCACAGAGAACTCTGCTCCATGTTATGTGGCAGCCTGAATGGGAGGAGGGTGTGGGGAGAATGAATATGTGGATATGTATGGCTAAGTCCCTTTGCTGGGCACCTGAAATTATCACAATGTTGTTTTTTTATCACAACTTTATTAATCAGCTATACTTCAATACAAAATAAAGATTTTTTTAAAAACAAAACATGAATAGGTAAAACATGAATTCTTCTTCTGCTTCATAGTAATTCTCCTCAGCTTCTGTGTTTTCTCAGCTTGCTCCATCTATGCTACATGAAGTTCTCTCTCTTCTTGAGGGCCCTATGCTGTCATAAAAAGATCAAAGCCCAGAGGCAAGAAGAGAAAGCAAGATATCCTGCAAGTCAGTTTCCTGCTTCCAGAAAGAAAAAACATGCTATTCCAGCACCACAAAATGTTTAAAGATAGAAAAGCAGTCTTAATCCATTTGGAAAATGATTCATCCATGGAGATTAAATATGGCATTCTACAGGCCCTTAATTATGAAGGCTCCCAAATATATGGAGACAAACTTCTACTCAGTGCATTGATTTATATTAAATTTTAGTTTCAAAAAAAAAATAGTACTTTGGAGATCTTTCTAACAAGAGTTGGCATTTGAAATACCCAAAATACGGCCAATTATAAGGCCCTGCAATACCGTGAACCCAGAGGAAGCACTAGGGAGTGACTATAACATGATTACTTTTTGTACTGGATAAAGAGAAAAGAAGGATCACAATATATTTTGTCCTATTAACGAAGAAACAATTTAAGAGCATGATCATCATTTGTTACTCACTGTGATAGCACTCAGAGAAGGCAATGGCACCCCACTCCAGTACTCTTGCCTGGAGAATCCCATGGATGGAGGAGCCTGGCAGGGTACAGTCCATGGGGTCGCTAAGAGTCGGACATGACTAAGCAACTTCACTTTCACGTTTCACTTTCATGCATTGGAGAAGGAAATGGCAACCCACTCCAGTATTTTTGCCTGGAGAATCCCAGGGATGGGGGAGCCTGGTGGGCTGCCGTCTTTGGGGTCGCACAGAGTTGGACACGACCGACGTGACTTGGCAGCAGCAGCAGTGATAGCACTTCCAGACCAAAGATTAAAGGCAGTGATTACAACCAACATTTATAAAGTAGCTGACAGCTCGCACAGTATTTTTCATAATGTATTTTGTTGTTGTTGTTTAGTTAGTCAGGTGTGTCTGAATCTTGGGGACCCTATGGACTATAGTCCACCAGGCTCGTCTGTCCATGAGATTTCCCAGGCAAGAATATTGGAGTGGGTTGCCAGTTCCTTCTCCAAGGGATCTTACTGATCCAGGGATCAAACCCATGTCTCCTGCTTGGCAGGTGGATTCTTTACCACTGAGCCACTTGGGACACCCGTACTGTATCTTAGATAACCTTCATAACATCTGAGGGGCAGATTCTGCTCTCTTGATTTTACTAACATGGGAACCAAAGCTCGGAGAGTTTCATTAAGTTTCTTTTCATACAGCAGGGGCCACTTTTGGGTCTGGAACAAGCCCTTATTACCCCAAGTTCCACTCTCTTCCCTTGACCTTCTGTTGTCACCCATGGGTACTCATGTGGTTCAAGGAACACTCTTGCCTTCTACACAGAGCCAAGACTCTGCTCTTACCAGTTGTTGCAATGCAGTCAAATCCCACAAAGGCATAAAAGCAGGTTGCAGCCCCAGCCAAAGTTCCTGCAAAGCCATAAGGCATAAAGCCACCAGCCCCATAGACGCTTGTTCCATTTTCAGAAGGTGGGTCCCTGAGGAGGAGAAGAAGCACATCGGAATGTCATTTTCCCAGAAAACTGCTTATTCAAGAGATTTGTCTCAAACTCCATTCTTGGAAGGTTACTCTGTTCATCATCTCTTGGAAACTAATACGTACAAAACTAAAAGTAAACCCTGATTTTTTTTCACCCAGTCCGAGAGGATGTGATGGTTTTCCCAACAATGGCTCCCTCACCAGTTGCCAGCTCTCAACTGGAGGCTGATCAATAGCATGAGCAGGAGGCTCAGATCCACTTTGGCTGGAACTTACAGCCAGGCAGGATTTTGAGAACAGAGATCCCACCTATGTATGGGCCATGATCTGAAATAAAGACCAGAGACTTTCTCATCACAGACAGTGGAGCAGACTGAGCATTTGAAAAGTTTACTATAAGACATGTGACAAAGTGAAATAAAATCCTCTAGTCTTGATAAATAATACTGAAGTTTTATTACATGTTAAAAATTGTATAAAACCAGAATATACTAAATTTTTGCTTCATTAGAATGGCTACAAACAACATAGGTAAATAAAAACATATACATCACTTCATGTAATAGATACTTCTGTAATCTTATTTACACATAGGAATATTATACTTAAATCTCAGGATAAAAACTTTCATTTGAAAATTCATTTTTGAGATCAAGTTTAAAGTATAATGTATAGACAATTCTGCTTATGCAATCAATAACATCCTCAAGAAAAAAAAATCAGGCATGAAAATTACTACAAGGTTGAAAGGATGCAGTGGAATCAAATGGTGTCTCTAAAGGGAAAAACAAAAGGATGCATGATCCAAAAATGTTCATTGTTATTTAGAAGTGGCAAACATTTGGGGGAAAAAACATTCTTCCAATGGTTGAGATCTCTCATTTCTTCCCTTAAACCCAAAGCCAAACCTGAAGTTAAGAATCAGCAGCTTCACAAGCTTGAAACAGCTGCTCAGTGGTGAACATACCTACACGCTTGTGCTTTGGGGAAAACCTGGGAAAAATAGTCTTGAAATAGAATAGACCTTCACAAAGTTCTCTGAACTAAAAAATTTGAGAACTGTTGTTCTAGAGGAAAATGTAACATAAGACAAAAGCAGGCAAATTAAAAAAAAAAAAAACACTCAAAATAGGAGGGAAAAAACCCAAATATTTTACCTGGCACTTGCAGATATATTTTTGAGAAAGTCTTCACTAATCTTCCAGTTTGCCACATTTCCTTTCACAAACCCAGCAACCATAACAAAGAGAAGCACTAGGATATTGACAGCTGTGAAGATTTTATTCACCCAAGCAGACTCTTTCACTCCAAAAGATAAAAGACCTATGGAAAAATAAAGGGTGCTTTAATTTTTACCTCACCTTTAGGAAAAGGCTACAGCAGTTTGAGACAGTTACAGGTTTTAGGATATTATTTCAGCAGGATTCATATATTTAACTGACACTATCCCTGTCTATAGAGAGTTTTCACTCAGTCACCTAAGTGTATACAGAACTAAAGACTTCAGAATGCAGACTGTGCTCATAGCCGGGAGATTTCACACTCTCCAATTAATGAATACATTTAGGAACTGGGTATTATTATCAATGGGTGGGTAGAGGAGCATGCTAAGTCACCTCACTCATATTTGATTCTTTGTGACCCTCGGACTGTAGCCCGCGGCCTCCTTTGTCCATGGGATTCCCCAGGCAAGACTACTGGAGCGGGTTGCCATGCCCTTCTCCAGGACAGCTTCCTGACCCAGGGACCAAACCCACCCCTCCTGTCTCCTGTACTGACAGGTGGGTTCTTTACCACTAGTGCCACCAGGGAAGCCCTAGCATTTCAGGCAGGCGGATGTGCTAGTAACATCAGGAATCATTCACAGGTGGGCAGGGCCAGGTAGAGGCAAAGTAACTTAATTTTAATGAAATGCTATTCTTAAAAAGCAATTTCAAGGTTAATGGCTACAAAATTTTGAAAGAAAATTTTCTTTCTCTTTTCTTTCAATCATATTTTCTGCCTCCTACTTACTAAATACATTAAACAAAGTAATTCTTCAACTGTCACTCCAAAGATTTTATTGAATCAATTCTCACTTTAATAGCTTTATTTTTATATTTTGATTGTAAAGGCAATCAATTTCCTACTCAAATAACTTGAAAATACAGAAAAAAAGAAAGAAAATAAAAGATCAAGAGTAATCTCTTCAGAATTTTGCGCGCGCACACACACACACATATTTCCATGTCAACAAATATATAATTTTATTTTTAACAGCCACATACTCTTCTACTCTATGGATACACTATACTTTACTCCTATATCTACAAACAGGTCATTGTTAGTTCCTTACGACTATAAATAATACTGACCTAATCATCCTTTTACAAATATCTTTTAACACCTTCTAATCATTTCTTTACAATAATTTTCTACAAGGTAGCATCATATCAGTGATATACACTTTATATAAGACTTTTGGTTCATACTGTCAGAACAGTTTCCAGAAAGTTTTGCCAGTTGAAATTGTCCATTTTTTCCTGTTAGGTTATTCTTATTCGTACTAATTTATAAAGCTTATTTATACAATAAAGCTATAAGCTCTCTGATTGTACATGTATACAGCATGTTTTTCCCAATTTATCATGTACTTTTTTGAAGAAAGAAGACCATTATAATATTGCCATTTATTATCTAGATTCAAGCATGCTAGGGGTAAACACATGGGCAGTTCCTGCGTTGAAGAGGAAATCAACAGGCTGGGCTGGCTCCGCAATTACAAAGCCAAGTAATGTGGAGTAGATTATAACCTGATGGACTCCACTTACCACATTAATTAAGTGAATTATGCACTTAAATAATTTTTAAGTTCCCTTCTAGTTCTAAATTTCTACAATTTTGTATCTCCCAAATTACAAATATTAAAACAATGTGGTTAATTTGAAATATGGGCTAGCCTATTTCTCCAATAAAAGAATGACAAAGGTTTTGCTGAGTTTTATTTTACTCTGTTAACAAGAAGATTCAGTTTTTATGGCAGACACTGCTTGTGGTCTACCTAATTATCATGTACTAATTTTAATTTTAACCTTAGTGTTGATAACACATGTAAGAAAGTTTTATAGTATAATTTTTTCCTCTAGTTTCTACCTCTAGGAAGATTAATGTTAACCTCAAAACATTCACCGTTATTTCCTTCCAGTCCTTTCATGATTGTATCTATCTTATTAATACTTTAATCCATCCTGTATAAGGTATGAATTATGGATCAAAAAAAGTTTACTTTCTACTGTTGGGGGAATAAGTGTGATGAAAGGCTCATAATCACATATTTACTTATATGTATACCACCCATGTCAAATCAGCAAAATTATACAAGTCGGGAGGAGAATGCTGAATTTCATCCCCAGAATTATACAAGGACACAACTGTAGTAGCAACATAAAGGCAGACTGTATGGTCAGTTTAATTATTGACTCTCAGCACAGTGACTGACTCTGCAACTGTCTGTCAGATCAGGAAACACTATACAACTATACACCTTGGAAATACACACAGTATTGCTATAAGACTTTGGAAAATAACAAAGCCACCTCCACGGTTTGTTTCCCAATACCCCAAGTGTGCTCTCATTCTGAAAGCCCCAGCTCCCGCCAGTAGACTAGTTACCTCTTGAAATTCTGCCTATGCTTCCCTTGTATCATTAATAAAAACAACAGCCTCAGTTGATAAGACAATTGACATTGCAATATGAATAAAGATTATAGCAGGAGGTTTTGGTCTTCAAAGTTTCTAAGAACAAAGTTAGCCTGTAATCTTGGCCTGTCCTGAAAGAAAGGCATGATGCTCGATGAACTCGGGACGTAAGACAAGCCAAGGCCTGAGTCTTGCCACGGAATTTAATGACGGGAACTGTGTCACAGCTACATGCTTCTCATCATTTAGAGATTAAAGCTGAATATTTAAGGTCACTGAAACCATCCCTAAATAAAGTGTGGTGTAAGTAATTTAATGTTACTAGGCTGTTGAGAAACCAAAACAAACAAACAAAGCCTAACACCTGTGGAAAAACCACTGATGCAATTTTTTCTGACATTAGGAAGAAAATATCAAATAATTAGGACCTATAAATTTTGTTCATGTCACTAACCCTGTCCCTACATAAAACATCAAATTAACGGCTAACATTTTAAGGGGCAAAGCTATTTTTAATTATATAATTTTTAAAATATGTTTTGATACAAACCATTAAAAAAAAAATCTTCACTGAATTTGTTATAATGTTGCTTCTGTTTTATGTTTTGTGTTTTTGGCCATGAGGCATGTCAGATCTTAGCTTCCCTGACCAGAGATCGACCCTCAACCCCTGCACTGGAAGGCTAAGTCTTAACCACTGGACTGCCAGGGAAGTTCCTTAATTATATAATTTTTTAAGGAAAAATTATAGAAAGAGAGGGAGAAAGTAGCTCGAGATAAGGTTGGACAGGAATGCAAGAGTATATCAAGCAGAAAGTACAAACAGACATGAACTTTATTCTTAGTGCAATGCTTGATGGGTTTAGCAGGAGTACAAGGTAGAATGACAATCAAAATTGAAAATGTTCAAATAATTAAAATAAATATCAGGCAGGGATGAGCTGTGTCTACAAAATGAAACTGCCCGCCATCTAAGTGCTTACTACGCATCAAGCAAGAAGCTTGCACAAGATAAACACTGACATCCTTACTTTATGGATGAACAAACTAAGTCATGGAAAGATTAAGTCATCCAATGTTCCACAGATAGGAAGCGGCAGAGTAGAACTGAAAACCTGGTCACTCTTGATTCTAAATCCTCTGCCTTTCTAAACCACTATGCTACACAACTGATGAAAATGGGAAAATTCTAGCATCAAGTATGTTTGTTTACATAATGTCTGCATCAAAAAAATGACAGGTGGTTTGAATATGCTCCCTTTTCAACCAGATGTCTACATTCTATAGGCATAAATAGAAAGACTGAATTTCTTCTAGAAACAGTATGCTTGCAAACATCTTTAGTTGTTAACTGACAAGATGAAATAATGCCCCGAATTTTACATTCTTCCTTATTTTGAAACTTTGTAGCCATTTCCACAAATCTCCAATTCGTATTATAAAATTGATGTACCTTATCTGATTATTTAGTGCCTTCCAGGTATCATTTATTTCGGAAGTACCAATACTATTTCTACAGTTCTGTATAATTTAGATTTCTTTATACATACACAACATTTTATTTATTTATTGGCTGTGCTGGGTCTCTGTCACTGAGTTGTGATGAGTGATGAGTGTTGTGATGCATGTGGGCTACTTTCCAGTTGCAGCGTGCCAGCTTCTCACTGCGGTGGCGTCTCTTGTTGCTCAAGAGCATGAGGGCTCGGGAGCTCTGGCTCCCAGGCTCTAGAGCACAAGTTTAGAAGTTGTGGCAAACGGGCTTAGTTGTTCTATGGCATATGGGATCTTCCCAGACCAGGGATCAAACCCACGTCTCCTTCATTGGTAGGTGGATTCTTTACCACTGAGACACCTTGGAGGCCCTAGATTTATTTTTGAAACATGCCTATCACATAAGACAAAATGTGATTATAGGTAGTGACGAGGCCCACAGATCTCCAACAGTAACTTCCGTGTGTAAATATCTAGCCTAGCCCTGGCACTTCGGTCCAAAATTCAGCGGTAACCTATTTTCCTGGGACAACAAATCTGGCTCACCTTAGGGAGAAGTGTAACTGGTTTTCTTACCTGCAAGAAGTAATATAAGGCACACAGCAAAAAAGTCTGGATACTCTGCAAGGCCAGTATAATTCATTTTGAAGTATGTCCGGAAAAACTGACCAATCTGCTTGCTAAGAAGTTCATCAAAAGTGCCACTCCATGCCCTTGCAACACTTGATGTTCCTTCCAAACCACAGAATATACAAGGTCAGTGGGAGAAAATTAATACCATCTTGTACGCCTCTATTCTAGGACAAACATGAGTTAGTTCAGACAGAATTGAACATTTTCAACACATATAACATTATCTCACAATAGCAAGCAAATGCTCAAGTCCGTAACTGTGGAATCCGGTAACTTTACTTGCATTAAAGAACTGTTGTTTTTTAAGAAACAGATTTTCAAGCTCACTAAGGGACATATTCAGGGAAAAAAGCAGAATCACTGAATTTTGTGATTAGGAGTCACTGAGAGACCAGAAAAATGAGACACACAGGGAGTAAGTGATATATTCAGATCGCCGAGGCGCTAGTTAAAGCAGACCCTACACAGAACCCTAAGGCCACTGACTCAGGAGTGCTATTTCTACCATCCTAACCAATTAGGTTGAGTTTTTGGAAACATACCTATCACATAAGATAAAATGAGATTCCAGCCAGTGATGAAGGCCCACAGCTCTCCAACAGTAACGTAAGTGTACAAGTAGGCAGACCCCGTCTTGGGAACTCGGGCCCCGAATTCCGCGTAGCAAAGACCTGCCATCACGGACGCCAGGGCAGCAATGAGAAAGGAGACCACGATGCTGGGGCCAGAGTCCGCTTTGGCCACCTCCCCGGCCAGCACGTAGACCCCAGCGCCCAGCGTGCTGCCCACCCCCAGGGCGATGAGGTCCACAGTGGACAGGCAGCGACACAGTTTGGTATCTTCTAAACTGTCCAGAGTGACGACTTTCCTCCGGACCAGACATCGGGCAAAAGACAGCGCTGCCCTGCAGGGAATCATTTTGAAGACGGCAACCTGAGGAAGAGAAGGGACGGCGTTAAAAGCTGGTCTGGAACCCTCTCTGCAGTTCCCTGCCCAGCTTCCCGGCAGCTGTGGCACCTGACTGCTTTTAACTTGATGCTGGAGGTGTGGTCCCGGAGCAGTCAGGAGGGTTAAATACGCTGCGTTAAGTCACTTCAGTCATGTCTGACTCTCTGCGACCTCATGCCAGGCTCCTCTGTCCATGGGATTCTCCAGGCAAGAATTCTGGAGGGGGCTGACATTTCTTTTTCCAGGGCATCTTCCCAACCCAGGGAATCCTGAATCTCTGGGGAGATTCTCCAGGGAATCCCCATCTCTGAAGGGATAGAATCTGAATCTCCAGCATTGGCAGGCTGGTGGTTCTTTACCACTAGTTCCACCTGGGAAGCAATAAGCCCAAGCTGTGATTTTCTGAGTGCACTTTCATGTGGCCTTTTAGAAGGGACTGCCACAAGTGGCTTATTTGGGGAGCAAAGGAATTGGAACCATGGGCAATTAAAAGGATTTGCCATTTTTGTTTGCTATTGCAATTTTTTAATAGATAATTTTATTTGAAAATTTAGTTAAAGCATGTTGGGATAGAAACTTTGACACAGCTTTTTGTTTGTTTTTGTGTCTTTTCTTTGTTTTGCTTTCTGGCTGTTTGGCATGTGGGATGCTAGTTCCCCAACCAGGATTTGAACCCACGTTCCCTGCATTAGAAGCATGGATTCCTAACCACTGGAGGGCCAGGGAAGCCCCTGTTGTTGTAATTTTTAAAGCTATGTCAATAGAAATAAATTCCAAGAGATATCTCATTTACCCCTGCAGCAAGCAAAGGGGTAAATCACCTCATCTTTTTGTTTCTCTCTGTCTTGTCTTCAATCATTTCTTGAACTCACATTTTTTAGGCCTTATTACACCCCAGGGATTGTAGTCTAGACTACACTCCTAAGATTGTCTCTAGAATGGTGTGGAACACAGGAACAGCCCCTAGCTTTACAGGACTTAGAGTCTAGTTAAAGCCTAAAAGCAGGTAAAAACATCATCATTATGTGGTCTACAACTTTGGCAATTGTGAGCTCTGCTTTCATTTCATTCTGTTCATTTAAATGTAGAGCCACTTGAACCTTTTAGAATTAAAAAATTTCCCCCCAAACATCTTGTGTGCTATGCTGTGCTTAGTCGCTCAGTCATGTCGGACTCTTTGCAACCCACAGACTGTAGCCAACCAGGCTCCTCTGGCCATGGGATTCTCCAGGCAAGAATTCTGTAGCGGGTTGCCATGCCCTCCTCCAGGGGACCTTCCCAACCCAGGGATCGAACCCAGGTCTCCCGCATCGTGGGCAGATTCTTTACCAACTGAGCCACAAGGGAAGCCCAAAACATGCTCAGAGATTTTTAAATGAAACTACTATTCAGTTATGCCTAAAGTGTGAATTTGTAATGAAACACACATTTATTTATATTTACTTACAATTTCTAAGTAAATAAATAAAGCCAAAGTCCATGTCTAGTATGATATGTTCTTTTTTAAATGGAATGAATGAGGTAGATAGAAAGTCTTACTCCCCACACCTTACAGGCCCCAATAATCTAATATTGAAGAACAAAGTATGGATTGAGTAAGGGGAAAAATACACATATTACATAAAAAGTCTGAAGCACAATATACCAAAATATTAACAGTAATGATCTTTGGGTGGAAGGCTAATTTTTACTTCTATGTATTTCGTATAATATATATTATATTGCTATCATGTGTTTCTAAATTTATCTCCAATGAATATGTGCAACTTATGTGAAAAAGAAACATAAAAATTAAAAGGCCATATATGGCCTTGTCTATGAAGACATAACTCAGCCGACTAGGAAATAACTGAAGAATAGGGAATATAATAGTATATGCAGCTTCTCAGTCAATAAAATTAAATGTACTTAACTTTTAGAAGTTCAGATTCATGTTTACCAGTTCTACTGCACAATGATCTACAGAGATTATTAACTTTCAATCTCATTATGACCATTGTCGATAACCTAAACTCACAAGCTCACAGCTTGATAACTCCTCTGAGGAACTTGGGAGTTTTCTATCCTAAGAAATAAACTCTGGAAGTCTCCTCAACTTAATCTCCATAAAAGAAAATGATTATCAAAATGTATTTCATTAAAAAATACTAAAAATAATAAAATACATTTCCTATTCATGCTTGCTAAATCACTTCAGTCGTGTCCAACTCATTGTGACCCTATGGACCGGAGCCCGCCAGGCTCCTCTGTCCATGGGATTTTCCAGGCAAGAATACTGGAGTGGGTTGCCAGGCCATCCTCCAGGGGGTCTTCCTGATCCAAGGATCACACCCACACCTCTCACGTTTCTTGCACTGGCAGGAGGGTTCTTTACCATTTGTGCCACCTGGGAGGCCCCATGTTTTCTATACTGAATCTCAACGACTTGTGCTCGTAAGAGAACAAATTTCTGGGATGTGAATAGTCCGGTTTCATGCTAACTCTAGTATAAAAAGCTAACTCACCCAACATTATTCATTCATGAATATAAATGCAAGTCCTTGATGTTGATAGTGACTGATTCAAAGGATATAGAGAAAAAAATCAAAGAGAAAAACAAAAATGAGTGAAAAGTTCCTTGATGGTACAAATAAAGTTTCACACATCAGCATCTCCCAAACCACCTGAAGGAGCGCCAAGAAGGGCACTTCACAAATAGTTGCTGAAAAATTCACAAATAGAGATGATATCTCCAATTTGCCAATATTTGTGCTTCCGAAGTCAAAATCTATCAAACTTCCGTAAGTCAAATGTGTATCAATTTCTACCAGTAGGTAGTCCTTAAATAGTTATTTCTATTATAACACATCTAGAAGATAAGGGAGAGAAATGTCTTGCTTAAAGAAAAACCAAGTAAAAAGCTGAAGTTGTACAAAGGCCAACTGAGGTACGAGGAGAACTGAAGCTATTTACTAAATGCTGACCTTCAAAGCCATTTAAATGCTTTTACACAAGAGATGTGCAAAGATCAAGAATTCGGAATAACTGCCAACTAAAAGGTACTCAGAAACCAAGACGCACTGGTGAATTTTAGTAATGATTTAAGATAATGTGAAAATTGGACAATTCATACACAACTTTAGGAAACAGCTGATACACAGAATGAGGCATAACTATTAGTCATTAACTAAATAAAACACAGGGCTTCCCAAGTAGCTCAAACAGTATCCTTACTGCAATGTGGGAGGCCTGGGTTCAATCCCTGGGTTGGGAAGATCCCCTGGAGAAGGGAATGGCAACCCACTGCAGTATTCTTGCCTGGAGAATCCCATGGACAAAGGAGCCTGGTGGGCTACAGTCCATGGGGTCACAAAGAGTTGGACATCACTGAGAGACTCATACATACACAAATAAAACACTCTCTTAATAAAGTGATTAATTAATATCCAATATTATGAATAAAAGACAAATTTTAAATCTACTGCAACGAAATCTGGAAGGAAGCAAAGAAAACTAAAAACAAAAGGATAGGATTGTAGGTGAGCTTTTATTTATTTTTAATCCCTTCTTTGGTAGTATGGTCACCATGTTGTTTTTGAAACTTCTATTAAACACAAAATAACATAAAAATAAAAAAGAATAAGCAAGTCAACCAATAAACAAACCTTCTTTGAAATGCTAAAAACAGGGAAAACTTTTTTTCTGTAAGTTGCCCAAAATGAATAAGTGAATAATCCTCGTCTTGTCAGTATAAAACTGAACTTAATTCAATCCAGATTACACAGGAAGCAGAACTGTTTACAAAGACATAAAGCTTTAATCAGTGAAGATCTGATTGCTACTGCCTCTCTCCTATTTCATGTCCAGTTTTCCTATGCTGCCCTGAGGGAATAAAACAGAGCTGCCACATGTCAAGTATTCATTTGCTTTTCAGTAACAGAAATGCAGACGTCAGAAACTCTTCTCTGAGTTGACAGATTATGCAATGGTCTTTGCAAACAGTCTTAACTACGCACGACTGATAAAATACTGATTGCAAAAGCTAACTCAAAACCAACTTTGCATAAATATAACAAGGTGGAAAGAAACCAATGTAAGACCATACTGGGTCAATTTAATGAATCATTATTAAACAAACATTTATTAACTCCTAGCAGGTGTATAATATACTGCTTAGTCAATAAAGAAAAAAAGAATCCCATTATTTTGTAAAATCTGTTTTTGTGGAGACAGGCTGATATAGAAAGTGGAGTGGCAACAGAATGAGAAAAAATAAGATGCTTGCATCTAACGTAATATAATTTGATGCTTACTTTTGAAAAATTTAATACCTTCCCCTTAAAACATTTTAAAAGATACATCCCTGTTTTTAAATGGTTATGATAACCTCACTCTCATTTCTAGAAGGTTTTTTCACTGATGAAAAAATCCACTCATATTTGTTCTTTGACACATGTCTGCACTTACCATCCTCGCCTGGGCTCCGGTATGTTGTCTCATCAGCAAACAGATATGCAGGGAAAATATGCAGGGATTTTGAAGGTGATCCTATTTGGTCTGGAGGACACACACTTTTTCCAAGAGCAGACAATGATCCAAACCAACATATCCACTGTCAGCTATTGCTATTAATACCAGGATTGGTACTGAGTATGAAACCTACATAAAATATAGTAGAGGACAAGGATCCTAGACTTTGGGAAGAGGGCCATATGACACTCATAGCCATGACCTGAACCTTAGAACACAGAAGTCCTAATCAACATTTCTATGAGATCACAAATGATTTTGGTGACACTAGAAACAGATATGTATTTTTCTACAACAATTGCTTATTTTACTAACTTCTAAGACAGTGGCCTCTCTGTTGTTGTTCAGTTGCCAAGTCCAACTCTTTGTGGCCCCACAGACTGCAGCACGCCAAGCTTCCCTGTCTTTTATTATCGCCTGGAGTTTGCTCAAACTCATGTCCACTGAGTCAGTAATACCATCCATCTATCTCATCCTCTGCTGCCCCTTCTCCTCCTGCCCTCAATCTTTTCCAGCATTGGGGTCTTTTCTTAAGAGTCAGTTCTTCGCATCAGGTGGCCAAAGTATTACAGCTTCAGCAACAGTCCTTCCAAATTCAAAGTTGATTTCCTTTCGTACTGACTGGTTTGATCTCCTTGCAGTCCAAGGGACCCTCAAGAGTCTTCTCCAACATCACAGTTCAAAAGCATCAATTCTTTGGTGCTCAGCTTTCTTTCTTTTTTTTTTTTTTGTGCTCAGCCTTCTTTATGGTCCAACTCTGACATCCATACATGATGTGAGGCCTCAGAAGTGGCCTCTCTACTGAGGAATAAAATATGCACATACTAGCTGAGATCTGAAAACTTAACTAGCCAGTGGAAAGGCTTGGAGGGCTCTGCAACAGCTTAGGCAGCAGTAATGTCTCTGGATTAATGAGCCTGAGGATACAAGTCAGACCTTCCTGAGTCCCTACCCCCATCTCCAACCCTAAGCTTAACGATTTTGAGGCATCTAACTCCCTGGTGGAGTCCCTATGAATTCTTGTCATAAAGCTAAATTCCTTCCTCAGTAACTTGGAATTATTTATGTGCTTCTCAAACTTCTTTCATCCAGGTTGTAAACTTGACCATGTAGAATTTTAGGTCAAGTAAATTCCCTACCCTGATAATACCACAATGCCATAGAGCAGACCTCATTTCAACTAACGACAGAAATCCTTCAAAAAAGTGCTAATTACAGTCAAAAGTCGATCTTGGATTTTCACTTTGGTCCAAAAGTTTGATGTAGCACTGAGCTGCACAGAAGTGAACCTTTGCTTTCCTCCTCTACATAAAGGCTAAACATTCAAAGTTAATCCTTGGTATCAGTATTACACGCCCCGACAATAAATCTTACAGGAGAAAGTAGCTGTGGCAAGCTGGCAGGGCAGGCATTCCAGCAAATCCTCAACAAATTAGCTCATCCGAATTAGAACCAAATTCCCCTTCCTCATTTGAGTTGCTAGTTTTTTGGTGAGATATCAGTACTTTCTATTTTTGGCCTGATAGTGAAAAAGCATGTAAGCCCGGGAACTTCGCCCCACTGTGTGTGCAAGTGCTGTCTCTGAACTAGAGCTTTCAGGTTTGCCATCCCCAAATGCAACATCAATTACATTTTTATAACTTTAAAGTGCAAAGAATATTTTCAAATTTTACTGTAGGTTAAATAATTTAGTTAAAGAGAGGAAAAAAGATATGGACATAATACCATGGAATTACTGATTTTTCTCTCATTTCTCTTACTTTTAAGAGATTAATTTCTCATAAAGATAAGCCAAAAGTACAAAGCGGGATAAAAGATAATCAGACTTCCCTGGGCATCCAGTGAGTGGTTAAGAATCCACCTTTCATACATATACACAATGGAATATTACTCAGTCATTAAAAAGAATACATTTGAATCAGTTCTGATGAGATGGATAAAACTGGAGCCCATTATACAGAGTGAAGTAAGCCAGAAAGAAAAACCCCAATACAGTATACTAACACATATATATGGAATTTAGAAAGATGGTAATGATAACCCTATAAGACAGACAGAAAAAGAGACACAGAGGTACAGAACAGATGTTTGAACTCTATGGGAGAAGGCGAGGGTGGGATGATCTGAGAGAACAGCATCGAAACATGTATATTATCAAGGGTGAAACAGATCACCAGCCCAGGTTGGATGCATGAGACAAGTGCTCAGGGCTGGTGCACTGGGAAGACCCAGAGGGATGGGGTGGGGAGGGAGGTGGGAGGGGGTTCAGGATGGGGAACACATGTAAATCCATGGCTGATTCATGTCAATGTATGGCAAAAACCACTACAATATTGTAAAGTGATTAGCCTCCAACTAATAAAAATAAATGGAAAAAAAAAAAAAAAAGAATCCAACTTTCAATGCAGGAGTATTGAGTTTGATTCCTGGTTGGAGAATTAAGATCCCACATCCCACAGGTTAACTAAGCCTGAGTGCTACAACTAGACAGAAGCTGCAACAAAAGATTCCCCACGCCACAACTAAGATCTAATTCAGTCAAATAAACAAACATTAAAAAATAAAGATAATCAGAAATGGTAACTGTTCACTCTAGTAGGTAAAAAACAAACAACAACAAACTTTTGCATTCAAATCGAAAACCTTTATTTTTCTGGAAAATGAAAACACGCTTTCACTTATATTAGGTGCAGAACTTAGCTTTTCTCCAAATAAAAATTTCTAAACAGTATCTTCCTCCAAGTTTTCTCCAGATAGGTTGTTGCTGTCCTGTTGCTCAGTCGTGTCAGATTCTTTGCGACCCCAAAGACTACAGCACACCAGGCTCCCTGTCCTTCACCATCTCCCAGAGCTTGCTCAAACTCATGTCCATTGAACTGGTGATGCCATCCAAACATCTTGTCCTCTGTCATTCCCTTCTCCTCCTGCCTTCAATCTTTCCCAGCATCAGGGTCTTGTCTAATGAGTTGGCTCTTCACATCTGGTGGCCTACATATTGGAGTTTCAGCATCAGTCCTTCCAATGAATATTCAGAACTGATTTCTTTGAGGATGGACTGGTTGGATCTCCTTGCAGTCTAAGGGACTCTCAAGAGTCTTTTTCAACACCACAGTTCAAAACATCCATTTTTCACTGCTCAGCCTTCTTTATGGTCCAACTCTCACATCCTCACGTGACTACTGGAAAAACCATAGATTTGACTATACGGACCTTTGTCAGCAAAGTAATGTCTCTGCTTTTTAATATACTGTCAGGTTTGTCATAGCTTTTCTTCCAAGGAGCAAGTGTCTTTTAATTTCATGGCTGCAGTCACCATCCACAGTGATTTTGGAGTCCAAGAAAATAAAATCTGTCACTGTTTCCATTGTTTCTCCATCTATTTGCCATGAAGTGATGGGAATGGATGCCAGGATCTTAGTTTTTTTGAACGTTGACCTTTAAGCCAGATATTCACTTTCCTCTTTCACCCTGATCAAGAGGCTCTTTAGTTCCTCTTTGCTTTCTGTCATAAGGGTGGAGTCATCTGTTATCTGAGGTTATTGATATTTTTCCAGAAATCTTGATTCAGCTTGTGATTCATCCAGCCTGGCTTTTCGCATGATGTATTCTGCACAGAAGTTAAATAAGCAGGGTGACAATACACAGCCTTAATGTACTCCTTTCCCAACTGTGAACCAGCCCATTGTTCCACGTCTGGTTCTAACTGTTGCTTCTTGACCTACATACAGATTTCTAAGGAGGCAGGGTAAGGTGGTCTGGTATTCCCAACTCTTTAAAAATTTTCCACAGTTTGCTGTGATCCACACAGTCAAGTGCTTCAGTGTCATCAATGAAGCAGAAGTAGATGTTTCTCTGGAATTAAAATTACTGTGCTTTTTCTATGTTCCAATGGATGTTGGCAATTTGACCTCTAGTTCCTCTGCCTTTTTTAAATCCAGCTTGTACATCTGGAAGTTCTCAGTTCACATACTGTTAAAGTCTAGCTTGAAAGATTTTGAGCATTACCTGCTAGCATGTGAAATGAGTACAACTGTGTGGTAGTTTGAACATTCTTTGGAATTGCCTTCTTTGGGATTGGAATGAAAACTGACCTTTTTCAGTCCTGTGGCCACTGCTGAGTTTTCCAAATTTGCTGACATATTGAGTGCAGCTGTTTAACAGCATTATCTTTTGGATATTAAATAGCTCACCTAGAATTCCATCACTTCTACTAGCTTTGTTAGATATAGGTGCACACAAGTAAATGGAGAAGGCAATGGCACCCCACTCCAGTACTCTTGCCTGGAAAATCCCATGGACAGAGGAGCCTGGTGGGCTGCAGTCCATGAGGTCGCTAAGAGTCGGACACAACCAAGTGACTTCACTTTCACTTTTGACTTTCATGCATTGGAGAAAGAAATGGCAACCCACTCCAGTGTTCTTGCCTGGAGAATCCCAGGGACGGGGGAGCCTGGTGGGCTGCTGTCTATGGGGTCGCACAGAGTCGGACACGACTGAAGTGACTTATCAGCAGCAGTAGCACACAAGTAAAAGACACAAGTGAGACCACTACAAAGTCACAACCACTACAGTAAGAACATTTATGTTTTCCCCCCTTTTACATCAAATCGGTAATACCCAAAAGTTAAACTGCTTCAAAATTTCTGACACAGAATCCAGATACAGACAAGCATCTTGCTAAGGACATCCAAGATGCAAACAGCTGATGGGGAATTCTAGTCTGTAAAGGCAGCTGTTGCTTTAAAACATGTCAATCCATTTAGCTTTATTAAACACCAAACTACATGAATGCGGCTTACCTAGCTGTCTCATTGACATAAGCACAGAACAATTTAAAGAACTATGACCAAATTTGTCTTTAGGGTCAGAGAGGAGGGGAAGTTTTTTGAAAAAGGAAAAGAGGGAACAGAACCTTCAGCAGCTCAATAAACAGAGTATTGTCCAGTCAACACCCGGCTCACAGTCAAGGATCTTGGTGGCTCGCTGCAGCCCCAGGCACATGCTAGGTCCCATCAAGGCTGAGCAGTCTCAGGCTAATAAATCACTCCAGATGCCAGTGGGTACCACCTGTTCCCACTCTCCAAGCAGCCAGTGAAGGAGTGTCCTCGACTAGGATCAGCCACCCTAGACATGCCAGTGCAAAGATGGAGAGACTCCCTCCCAAAGCTATTTCTCACCCATCACTACTCTAGGAAGTCTTATGCTGATAAAAATAGCCAATGTGTGTTGAAGAAAGTAGACAAAATCACTACTAAGCCATTCAGGTATGATCTCAATCAAATCTTCTATGAATATACAGTAGAGGTGATGAACAGATTCAAAGGATTAGATCTGGTAAGCAGAGTGCCTGAAGAACTACTAGACAGACATTCCCATCAGTGAAGAGGCGGCAG